TAATATTCGCTTAAGGTCATTTAAACCTCTTTCTAAATTTATGAGTTCACTGAAGGTGACTTTAATTTCTAAGTTTAAAATATTTTTCCTTAACCTGTGATTGAAACTCTGCACGGATCGTCCAGTTGTTCCTCCTCGGTGGTGTAGTAATGTTGTGACGTTACCAATACCATTAGTTACGTGATTTGGAAATATGTGGTACTTTCTACATTTCAGCAAGAACAGCTTTTTCTGTTTCTCATCGACGCCAACTTGGTGTTCGTTTTTGCCCATGTTTTCATGTGTGCAACTGTTTGTAGACCAAACTGCTGTCGGATGTTAGTCAAGAACCCCATTTCTAGAAGTTAAAAAGCGAAGGATAGTCTTGACTGACTAGTTAAGGAGAAATGCGGAATATTGTTGGGGAAGCAGTCAAAGTACTGGGCTGTTGTTTAAAGAATACTCTTTATTATATGGTCGAGCTTTGTAGATGTCTTGATGAGGGGAATAAAAATTCTCGAAAGCTCGACCATATAACAAAGAGTATTCTTTGGAATTCGTCCCTTAACTAAAGAAATTAAACTTTATAACCTTCTTGCTGATTTAGAAAATATACTTTTCAATATTGATAAAAATGGTCAAGATATCTATCGTGCTCAATGCACAAATATTATTACAAATTTCCTTCATAAAAATTCAGATATTTACCATTTTTTAAGAAACTTTTGATCAATGTGAATCCCTTCTAAAACAACACCCTGAGATCTATGTAGTAAGAATAACAAAGTCAATGTGACAGTTATAATGTTCGAAGAGGAATACTCTACTAAAAGTTAAATCATAATCCAGTTAGCACCTTACAACAAAAAGGAAACAAAATAGTTTCTAAGATTAGGAAGAATAAAATGGTGGATGAAAATACAGCCAAAAAGCTTACCATCTATAATGCAGTAACTCCTAGATTTTACTCTTTCCCTAAAGTACACAAACCTGAACTGTCGATGAGACCCATTGTGTCATCAATAAATTCACCTAACAGCAAACTGGCTAAATGGTTGGCCAATATTTTGTCTACGTCATATAATAATGAGAACGAGTTTTATGTGAAAGATTCTATTTCCTTTAGCAATTGTATTAATGATTATAAACTTCCTTAAGACTATGTGTTAGTGAGTTTCGATGTAGTTTCACTGTTTACAAACTTGCCTTTAAATGTAATAATTAATAGCTTACAAAACCACTGGGATGTCATCTCCCAACATTGTATGCTTGATTTTCCAAATTTTAAATCTATTTTAGAGTATATTTTTGACTCCAACGTCCTAGTCTTTCAGGACACTTTTCATTAACAAATTTTTAGTACTCCAATGGGTTCAACCATTTCCCCCATTTTAGTAAATTTTTTATTAGATGACCTAATTATAAATGTATAGGATAGAATCCCTTTTAATATTCCTTTCATTAAACGTTACGTGGACGATTTGATACTATCTGTTCCTCGTGGGAGAACTGAGGAAGCATTAACAACTTTTAACAGTTTCAACGAGCATTTACAATTCACAGCTGAGGAAGAAGGTAACAACAGCTTACCTTTCTTAGATATGCCTGTATGCAGAGATCCAGATAATGTCCTACGTACAAAATGGTATAGGAAACCATGTGCTAGTAACAGGTTACTGAACTACCATTCTTACCATCCGACGAAGATGAAAATAAACTTAGTCCTTACCATGAAGAACAGGGTGATCAATCTAACACATCCACTTTTAAAAGATGAATGTATTGAAGAACTAAAAGGTATTCTCCTTGAAAATTCATATCCTTGCAAACTTTTGAACAAAGTACTTTTTAGCTCCTTTTCCACAGTCATGAATACTGTTCCAAACAATTCAAATATTTCCATAAATAATAACAATTTAAATATTTCAAATAGTGGAGAGATACCTCCAAATTTATTATTTTTTAAAACATTACCATATTTTCAGTCTTTAACACCTAAACTCCTGAACGTTTTCAAGAGTGAACATATTGAATTTGTTCAATACATCGTAACTACTACGAATAGTCTTTTTTCCAAAATTAAAACTCCTTTGACAACTTTAGAAAAGTCAAATGTAGTATATGAAATTCCTTGTCATACATGCGACAAGACATATGTTGGTCAAACATCTAGAATTTTATCTGGACGCATAACGTCACATAAAAGTGATTGTAATACAAACAAAACCACCTGTGCACTTGCAGAGCATGTCATCAGCACTAAANCAGTAGAGATGGAGTTATCAACTCTCATAATCTCCATATATGGGCCGAAGAAAATCCCCATGGGATATTGCAAACCAAACACCAACGGAAATTCAACGTGAATGTTTGGGCTGGTATCATAGGAAACCATCTTATAGGACCATTCGTTATATGAAGTACTGGTGATATTTTGACCCCATCTATTCATTCCCGAGAGGAAAAGAGGAAGTCCAGGGACACCCTGTATACTACTATATAAAATTATTTGAAATCCATGAAAAATCTCTGAAAAAGGGTAAGTAATTAATAATGCAGTGTAAGTAATTAATGAACTCAACATATCTTAATCGTATTTACAATAAATCAGTTACCTTTTCTGAGAAAGTGAAGGAAAATATTGATCAGTGTTCCGAGTAAAACCAAAACATTCAGTGTATTCTCTATTGTGAAACCAGGTGGTAAGATCAACTACAAATTACAGTCACAATTTTACTAAGCAAGATACTGTTGTTTTATAGGCTAAGAAACCACATCAAGGACTTTGGAGAAAAAAATTCATTGAACACTCCCATACTCACTCAACAATTTTGCTACAACAACCTAAATGAAATCAACCAATAAAAGTATACTTCATTGTCTTGAAAAAAATGCATAGGTACTGACAAAGTCTACAAAGAAAAAATACAGAAGAAACTTAAAAAATATAGAACACGAAAACAAATTTGAAATTGCTAACAGCACACTACAAATTCATTATTTAAGAGAAAATTCATTACCAATCATCAAGTTTAAGAACCCTTGAGTGCTATACATTGGGTTGCTAATAAGGACATCTTTGAGTTTTCTCCTGAAAACTCGAAATACAATTATAGCCTGTCTATTGCGCATAACTAAGAATTATGTAGTTCTAACAGTTAATGAAATTTTAATTTTCATAAATTTGACATTGAGTTTTCCGAATAACTTTTTTCGAGATCAATTGCCCTAACACCAAACTGATATTTTTGCACTCGATGCGCGTTTCGGCAACAAAGTTATCATCCTCAGGAGAAGAAAATTGATACCTAGTCTAGTCTGGTTAGTCCTTATATACTAAAATTTGTTACCTGGGGTTGTATACCTGAAGTCCAATATGGAATTTCTTGGTAATTAACTACCTGCAAGTTCTTAGTAATTCTTCCTAACAGAAGATCAAAAAGCGGGCTAAACGGGATGGGTCTCTTATCGCAATCCATGCTGTTTTTAAATTTTGCTATTTCTAGACTCTCACATGCATCGAGTAGCCTGGTGTCGATGCATGTGATAGTCTAGAAATAGCAAAATGTAAAAACAGCATGAATGGCGATAAAGGACCCATCCCGTTCAGCCCGCTTTTTAATCTTCTGTTAGGAAGAGAATAATTACTAAGAAGTTGCAGGTAGTTAATTACCGAGGAATTCCATATTGAACTGCAGGTATACAACCCCAGGTAACAAATTTTAGTATATAAGGACTAACCAGACTAGACTAGGTATCAATTTTCTTCTCCTGAGGATGCTAACTTTGTTGGCGAAACGCGCGTCCAGTGCAAAAATATCAGTTTGGTTTAGGGCAATTGATCTCGAAAAAAGTTATTCAACTTTCACACCAAAGGTTCCAATCTCATCGTTATTGAGTTTTCCCATTAGTTTTAAATTTAAGAGCCACCGGTAGACAGCTGTTTCAGCCTATTGGGCATAGTCAGTACTGGGTAGGCGATTCTGGATTGAAGATAAAATGTACAAAACGAAGAACAGTACTTGATAAAAATAACTGGCATGAAAGCAAGCGATACATAAGTGGAACCACCTATTGGTGTGACATCCAAGTCAGCTTGCCAAATTTTTATGTCAGTGTTGGTGGTTTGACCAATATGATGAAACAGCTGTCTACCGGTTGCTCCCAAATTAAAATTGATATGAAAATGATCAGAATAGTACTTATTTCTTTATATTTTGATATTCATGAAACTATTTTCCAGCAGCTTGACTGCATTTCGATTTCATATCATTTCTAGAAACATATGGATGGCATTCCTGTATAGCTTCTCAAATTTCTGGCCTTGCAGTTGTCGGTTGATTGGTCAAACCGTAACTTGGCAAGTTGACTTGGGTATCACACCAATAGGTGGTTCCACTTATTGCGTTTACGCAATTATTTTTATCAAGTACTGTTCTTGGTTTTGCACATTTTGTGTTCAATCGAGGACCGCCTGCCCGGTACTGACGATGCCCAATAGGCTGAAACAGCTGTCTACCGGTGTTTCTTAAATTGAAATTATTATGGAAGTGATCAAAATACTACTTATTTATTTATATTACTGGAGTTTTTTTCCAACACCAAATCATTATTTTCAACATCTCGACACGTGTTTCGATCACCAAGTGATCATCTTCAAGAGGAAGATTAAACTGGAAGAACTTGTAAGGCTAATCTAATCTAAAATTGTGCTTGTTTCTTTTCAAAATATATCATATTCTAACCCTCCATATTGGTTCCTCATTACCAAAACGTCAAGAAATGGTAGTTGTCCTTTATTTTCTAACTCATACGTGAATTTTATTGATGGACATCTATTATTTAAAAAGGAAACAAAGTCCTCAATATTCGATTTCTTTGTATCGAATATCTTTTCAATTTATCAGTAACTTGTATTCAATAATTTTCAAAAAAAAAGAAATTATACAGATACTTATCTCAACTTTTCGGAGGCTGGAAAACAAAACAATCATGATCCAATGGGCTGTTTTGCCCGGATACATTGCTGGACTCAATTTCCCTTGAAGGACAAGCCAAGTAAGTGAAGGCAATGACATTACGTGGACATTTTTGGATTGGGTCTTCTGTCGATCCCATAGATGTCGTCATACATTTGTGTTTCAGCCTAGCACCATTAATGAGATGTATGAAGGGTCGAAACAGTGCTATCTGGCATTGGATCACGAATGCTTTGTTTTGGGGCCCTGGTTCTAACTAGTTGCCTACAGTGAAAACTGCAATGAAAAACATGACGAATTTTGTTTGGCGGTCGATATTGAGGTTTGCTTTGCAACAGACCGCTTTGGGGAGTCTTGGGAGAACTGAGTTCTCCGACTC